ACATGTTTTATTTAGTTAAGGTATTAGAGTCATAGAAATAAACTGTTTTCTGATAAATATGTGAAACTATTGAAAGGTGTGTAATAATGACTGAAGCATACATTCCTACCTGCCCTCCAAGGTTTCTTGAAACAGACAAGTCACCATTGTGATCCTTAAGCTGAGTTAGTGTGAGCTAGCTCACAGTTTTTTAGCCTCCGGCTCACACATTTTTTGTCTTTGCTCAGGAAGGATGGCTCCAGAGCACACTCATTGATGCAGTAGCCAAATCTCTTGCTCACAACTTTCATGCCAGTAGCTCACAAAGGAGAATTTTTGCTCACAAGACTCCACAGCTTAGAGGGAACATTGCAAGTCACCATTGTGATCCAGAACACAAGAATTGGGCCCTACAGGAAAAGTTTGCAGAAGGAGTTGGTGAAATGGATCTCTCCACTCCTCTTCCCTTTGCACCCCCCAAGTCCAATATTTCAATTTGGGGGACCATCATAAGCAAAATGCAGCGCGGTGCAGGGGGCAGTGAGGAATGGAAATTGAGCAAACTGTCTTGCACTGCCTCAGTGCTTTCTCCAGCTATTTTAGTGTAGGGCATAGGGGCTGCTGGAGAAAGGGGATGGTATGAGAAATCCACTCCGCCAACTCCTGACATGAACTTTCCATAGGATCCAGCCCATTGATGAAATTTGTAATTCAGCAAAAGTGGTTTGTGCAGCTAATTCCCATTGTCTGCTATGAAAAGCAAAAGTTCTCATGCCTTTCCAGAATCAATAATCTGCTCCAGCAGCACTGTTAATATATGTTGACTGTATCACTGGAAGTATGTGTAAGTAAACCTCTGTAATTTCAGTAGAAAAACCAGTGTAGTGGTTATTGTTGGTCTACAGTCTGGGAGACTACAGTTTGAATCGTTGCTATGGGTGACCTTGGGCTAGTCACACACACTTAGCCTAACCTACCTCATAGAGTTATTGTGAGAATAAAATGAAAGAAAGGAGAAACTGAAAGCCACTTCAGGTCCACATTGAGAAGAAAGGTGGAGAACAAATGAAGTAAGTAAATAAGAATACCTGGGGTCAGGCGGAAGTTACTATATAGCTCAGGTGGAGGTTACCATGACCCTGTCCCCCAAGCAAGTTATTTACTCCTAGCTGATTTTTCAGCTTCAAATTGTAAGAGACCATCCCTTTGGGAAGAAGTCAGTGCAGTACACCATAAAAACGTTTTTTAAACGAGATGTTAAAGTGCCGTCTTGATAAACCAAATACTAGGGGCCAGCGATAGAATAATCATCTAAGCCTTCAAAGACCTGCTGAAGTAGCCTTTCTTTTTTTCTCTGAAAATTTATCTTTTTAGAAAAATTTTATGCGTTACAGACAGAATCAGCCAAGACAATAAATGTACAATAATAAGAACAAATCATGCCAATAAAAACAAGTAGATAAAACAAATCAAACCAATAAGGTAAATAAAAATGCCATTAAAAACGAGCCAGATCACAAAGGAGTCTAAAATGATATTGTTAAAACAGTCTTTAGGCTAGGAGAAGACCATTAAATAGCTTTAAAAAGATGGAATGCTTTAGTTTTGGCCTGGCGCCTAAAGGGAGATAAGGTAGGCTCCAGGCGAGCCTCAGGTAGGTATACATTCCAAAGGCAGGGTTCCACCACTAAAAAAGTGTGCAGGTGGAGGCAAAGAGAGCAGTGCTTGATAAGAGGACAATACATGAGGAGGTGGTTCTTCCAGTACCCCAGCCCTAACAGTTCAGGGTCTTATAGGTAAAAACCAGCCCAGAATATGGGGAGAAAGAGTTTCTGTATCCAGCCCTCTAAAATAATCTGGCTGCTACATTCCAGACCAAATGAAGCTTCTTAGAGCTTTCAAAGATCACCCCACATTACAATTATCTATTCTGGATGAGATCAGAACATGGATCACCATGGCCAAATCACATTTGGAGAAACAGCAGTAGCTTGTGACTCGGTCAAAGAAAGGAGGGAGAATACCTTAAAGGTATCTAGTAGCTGACTTTTCTGGCTCCTTAGCCCTGCAGCCTCCCAGGGCTAGTGTGAGGGAAATTGGTTCAAATAACTAATAATAATTTTCAAAGTGGCTTTAATTAAATCTTTTTAAATTTAGCATAATTCATGTTGATGTTTTAAGTTGAAGTGATGATATAAAAAGATGAAAATGCCAATCACCACTTTGGGGTCAGGAAGCAATTTTTTCCAGGCCAATTTGGCCAGGAATCCTGGGGGTTCTTTTGCCATCTTCTGGGCATGTAGCAGGGGTCACTGGGGGGCGGGAGGGGGGCGTGATAGTTGTGAATTTCCTGCATTGTGCAGTGCGCTGGACTAGATGACCCTGGTGGTCCCTTCCAGCTCAATGAATCTATGAAATCTATGAAAATATATGAAACTTAATTAAAATCAAATTCTGTTCTGTTTTATATACTTGTTTTTTATAACCCATTTGTGATTTTCCCACATTCCTTTATTTGGAGTAATTCTGTTGTTCTGTACCTTTAGTTATAAAATTGTGTGTGCTTGAGATCTGAGATCATATAGGTTCAGTTAAGAGGCCTGGAATTCTCAGAGTGCCTAATGAAGATGGGCTCTGAGTTGGGGGTCTGTCAGCAAAGGGAATTAATGCCTGTTGTATTTTCAGTACAAATTTTGAGTGTTATCCATATCTTTAAGAAGAATGGTCTTGCTGCTTTTCTCAGTCAGTGAAAGGCTGGGGGAGGCCATCTTTTTCTTTTCAGTTAAATCCAGAACAGCCACACTGACTGCTTCTTTGGAGCAGTGTCAGTTTATGACAGAGTCACAAACAAGTCCATGAAATTTACTGACTTACAAATAAATTATATTATTTTTTCTGCCTAACAAAAACCTGTGTTAGTAAAGTCTAGGATCAAGCTAGATAAGGCACTGGAACTTCTGTGATCAGGTCTTTGTAAATAGCTGTGTGGAGAGGGGGACCTATTTTATTTAGAACTATGATGGGGGGGGTGAAAATTCCTTGATATGATGGATCCCTATGGAGCTGTGTGCTCTGTTAGGACAATTGTGCAGGCATTCTCTGTGATTGCCCCAGTGGGGTAAAATATCAACTCCATTGTACTGTTTTAGGACGGGGAACATACCACAGGAGGAAAGAAGCTCTATGCATATAGCAGAATGGGGCATTAGAGTTCTTCGGAGGTAGAATAGATCCCTTTAAGTGAAGGATGTCATGTTTCTAATGTTCACCTATGTTAAAAACATTTCCCTGTGAGAAATAAGTAAGTATAATGGAGGAAACTAGTTCTAGCCCAACCTTCTCCCTGTTGTGCTGGTTTTCTTTTCATGCAGAATTTTTAATCGGAGTAATCTGGAGCTTTATATTTTCTGTGTGTTCTAAAGTGGGTCTTGTGAATGGTCTTGAGCCATTGGGAAAGATGGGGTGTAAATATTTTAATAAATAAGCCTCCCTCTCCGATCCACAATACCATCAAAAGTGGGTTGTACAAAAGTGCTGTTTAGAAGGGAAAACACTTTAAAGCTCTGCCCATAGAATTCCCAGCTCATAATCTAGTTTGACCATACCTGTTTCACGTTTGTTATTGCCTAAAGGCATTTTTTTGCAGTCCTAGCATATTTTTTTTAATAAATTTTTATCTTCAACATAGAACAGTGAAGAACATAACTATAACATGATGAAAAGAACAACGTTGGTTCTGATACAGCAATACAGCCAACTGACATTATTTAAATAACAGAGGATACATTATTATGCACATGAACATGCTTACATCAGCTCATAAACAGGTTAGTAGCATTAGTTTAAAAAGGCACTTGGCATATTAACAGGTTGGTAGCATTAGTAACAACTATGCATTCAGATACAGAGCCAGTGTTTATCCTTAACAAAAGGGGGAAGCGCTTCTTTTTCTGAGAGAAACTGAATTATTGGAAACCACATACATACAAGTGATGTTTGATAATCCTCATTGGCATGATTAGCTATGCCATTCGCTATTTTTCCCATAATAAATTGCATCCAAAGCTTGTCATACCACAGATCTAAAGGAGAGCCTGAATCTGATTTCCACTTAGCAGCAATGGTGAGCCTAAAGGCATTTTTAAAGTTTACTTTAAAATTCCTTTTCAGTCATATTTAGGAATTTCTGATTATAGGAGTATACCATGCCTTGAAAATAACCACACATTAAACAAAAGTAGTCTCACATTAGAAGAAGTGCATGTCCTCTGAGCATAATAGACCATGTTCTAGTGTGCAGGGAAGGCTATTAACATTATCTCAGCCTCTCTTTCTAGATTAAAATTGATGTTTTCAGAGTTACTCCCTTGCTGTAGCAACATTTATTTATTTCATTTATTTATCAAATTTTTATCCCGCTCCCTCTTCCCTGAGTGGAACTTAAAGTGGCCAACTACATATAAAATACATCTGATAATCTTTCAGATACTCTATTTCAGTGTTGACTTCTCGATTACAGAAATTAAAGGCTAGCAAGTATAGGTTACAGGGACAGTTAACACAAGTTGTACTCCCATTCCTTCATCCTAGCCTTGTTCTTTCTGCTTTTGCTGAAGGCTAGAAAAATACAGCCTGTGGGGAGACCATATAGGGTTGTTTCTACTATCAAAAGGGTAAAACAGTGGCCAACAGTGGTCTATTTTGTGTCTTTGACAGTTATTATATGTTCAACTATTTGGATTGAAATTAAGACCTCAAACTGAACTTGCTAAACAGTAGTTCTACATAGCAACGTCTGGTAGAATGAAATCAGTAAATTGGTGTGGAGAACTTGGAAATGTGCATGATTTTTTCGTTTATAATCTATTTAAACTTTCTTCCTTTCAATTTACACTGAATATTTGCAGAATTTTTGTAATAACATTTGAAATTTTAGTATCCTTTTAGTAAATAGGAAGGATGGTTTATCAAGGCACAGCTAAGGAGGAGATGTATCAGCTTTTTCTCATTGCCCTGTGCAGCTCAAAGAAAATGAATGGCACACTGGATCACCCTGATCAACCAGACATTGATGCCATCAAGATGTTTGTGGGTCAGGTCCCACGAAGTTGGTCTGAGAAGGATCTGCGGGAACTATTTGAACAGTATGGTGCCGTCTATGAAATTAATGTCCTGCGGGACAGGAGCCAAAACCCTCCTCAAAGTAAAGGTGAGAGCTCTTTTTAATTAAAAATGTCGTTTCCAGTGCGTATTGTGTCTTATTCACATTGAAATTGATATGGGTTAGTGTCTACATACATATGAACTTTGGCTCTTGCTTCCTTGATCTATGTAATGTGATTTGTATGATCAGTTCCATGTTACCTTATGTGGACTAATATCAAGAAAACCAATGGTGACTTTTAGGTCTGTAGCACACACTATACAGAGCAAGCTTGAGTTTGCCACCAAATATACAGTTAACAGGGAGCTGCAGACAAAGCTGACGTACCTACATAATATGAATATTTTGAAGCATGTCTTTGTTGAATTCACTCTTTGCATTTTAAGTGTACGCTTAGAAACACGATTCATGAAGTAGCCCTTATTACTGGGATGACTTACGTAGTGTTCCACCATTTTGTTATCTGTTAGATAAGATGTACACAAAGTAACCTTTGTCTGCTTAAAATCCATTAAAACATCTGCAAGAGTACCAAGCCTTTTATCCCAATTAGCTTACTTCAGTTTTGAATCCCAAAGGAGGAGAGGCAGAGCTGCCAAAGAGCTGCTGGGAGCTGCTAGGGAGTGTGCAGGCTCTCGACCTCTTATCCTGTCTAGTTTATGATCGGACAGCTAGGTGAATGATAATTGGAAAAAGCTTACCCTTAACATTGCTAAATTTGTCTCTTAAGCTAAGAATAAAATGTGTGAACTCTTAGTTGCAGAAATGTGTTTATTGGTTAAATTAAATGTTCTGAAGGTTAACACCTGCTCTGTAGATGCAGCAGAATGAAGTGTTAAGAGCTCTGAGGTGGTAGAATAAACTATGTATACCTTCAGGTAGAGACGTTCTCTCATGTGGTTTTTTTTTAAAACCCAAGCTCCTTGTGAGAAAGAGTAGTATTTTAAAATGTGGTCTACTTGAAGCCTCTACAGTTTGTTTTGCCACTTCAGTCTGCCACAGTTAGGCTGCGGTCACACGTAGAATTTGCCGCGCTGACGATATGGATGGTAGGCGGATTTTCCGGGCACGATCTTTGCCGCGCTGCAGGATACCCGTTTGGTCGGCGTCTCCCCCCTAACCATGGGACCTCAACCGGGACGTGTGCTCGGGCGGCCATGCGTTAGATTCCTCCAGGGCAATTAGCCACGCCTCCCCCCCGCGATATCCAGCCCGTGTGACCGGGGCCTTAGATGTACAAATTGCAGACAAGATGAGGTTAATCTTGACAGGAAGCCACCTTCATGAAAAGTTTAAATATTATGCTTGAATACTTACATTTTCCGGGCACGATCTTTGCCGCGCTGCAGGATACCCGTTTGGTCAGCATCTCCCCCCCTAACCATGGGACCTCAACCGGGACGTGTGCTCGGGCGGCCATGCGTTAGATTCCTCCAGGGCAATTAGCCACGCCTCCCCCCCACCACCACCACGATATCCAGCCCGTGTGACCGGGGCCTTAGATGTACAAATTGCAGACAAGATGAGGTTAATCTTGACAGGAAGCCACCTTCATGAAAAGTTTAAATATTATGCTTGAATACTTACATCCATGATAAAGTAACTTATCTTTTAAAACGTGTATTATAAGTTCTAGCATTATAAGTTATTTTCTGCAGGTTTAAACGGGGCTGGCAGCTTCTGGTTAGTCCAAGTTCTGCAACTGTCTGTTTTGTCTCTTTGACAGTTATCTGGCTGTCAAAGTAAAATACTCAATTGGTAAGTCCCTCTAAAGTGGTGCTCAAATATATTGAAAACATGTTCTGGTAGGAATGTTTCCCTTAAGTCTCAAAAGTCAGGGACAGCTTTCATGCAGTAACTTTCAGCTATCAAGTATTAGGAAGGCAGCTTTTTATGTTGTGATTTTAAAAAAAAATTAAGCCCTCAGTTTGCAATTGATGTGTTTGCTTTATAGGGTGCTGTTTTGTTACATTTTATACCCGTAAAGCTGCACTAGAAGCACAGAATGCCCTTCATAACATGAAGATTCTCCCAGGGGTAAGACAACAAGCGCATTCTCTCTCTTGTATATCCCTAGTTCTTCTGTTCTCATTTCAATTTGTTTTGGGTGCCAGCTTTTCTGGGATGGATGTGTGGAATCTTTTGGTTCTGCTAACACAAACTTGGTCTTTCCTTGCCCCTCTGCATTGGTTTATAATCCAATATTTTAAAAGATAATGGCTGCAAAATTCTGGTTCTGTCGAGTATGTGGATAGCATTTATCTATCCTAATCACTTTCTTTTGTTCACAGATGCACCATCCTATCCAAATGAAGCCAGCTGATAGTGAAAAGAATAATGGTATGTGTGTGGAGAACAAACTTTCTTTGAAGATCAGCCTGTTAAGCTTAGACAAGGGAACTTTCCACTTAAGAAACGGTATTGTAGTTTCCAACCTCATCTATGTGGTTACCAAGGCATCCCACATTCATTCTATCTGCTGAATAGTCCATGCCA